AACCTCCAAAACATGCCCGCGCCGCGGACCGTGAGGTTCCCAGTGCCTCCTCGAACCCGAGACCCCCAATGGACCGTATGCGGTATGCGAAGTGACCCGACGACTGGCTCATCGTATCTCCGATCGTTCAATCCGATCACCACGGTACACAACGGCGGCTTCGACGGCCCGGTAAACCCTCGATGAACCCACCGATCGAATGTTCCCCTCCCCCACCCCCTTTCTTCACTCGCGGCGGGGGAAGAGGCGGGACAGGAGGGAGAGGAGAACAAGGGGGATGCGACTAATAGATGTAATGGATCCGCGGAATGACTACAGAATTTGTGTACATTGCAAGACGGCTACACTAACATTTCTACATCAATATGCGATGTGAGGCTGGGCGACTTTCAATTTTTCCATGGGGGGGATTGTCTGCCACCGTGCGCCCTGGCACGTTGGGGCGTGCTACGTAGGGTGCCAAGTGCTGTCTGGCATTGTTTATGAAGCCTTCGAGCGGGCACCCTCCCCCTCTCCCCGCGCTGCCCCGCGCGCATCGCCTCCCCCCCTCCCATGGCCACAACCCCTAGCAAAACACAGCGCGCTCGCACTCCCGAGACGACAATCCTTCGTAAAGTGCAGCAGATTCGCGTCGCCGAGGCCCCCCCTCGTCAAATACTGCAGATTCGCGCTCTCGCGGCGACAACGCGCAAGCAAATTCAACGAATTCGCGCTCCCGAGGCCACGATGTCTCCAAGACAGCCAAAGATGGCTCTCAGACGGCCCCATTTGGCTTCAAGACTGCTCAAGATGTCCCCAAGACAGCCCCAAGATTGCCGAAATAAGCACACTGTGAGCTCCTCAAAACGTCGAGACGAGAAGTGTCACATGCGACGGCGCTTCTGGCGAATATATCCGCCACCGTGCCTCGAGGCACGCCGTGGAGTGCTCCCCCTGCTTCTAGAGGTCTCTGTACCCAATATTTAGGGTTGAATTGCTTCCGTTAAGGACAAGAACCCAACATCACAAAATGCATGGAAATCCAGGCGTCGCCGCGTGACCGTTCCAAGGGGGGCCCAAGCCAGGTCAAGAAAGCCCCAATAAGCGCCCAGAAGGGCGCAAAGGGCCTCGACGACTGCCCGACAGCGCTCCACGACTCCCAAGATGGTTCACAGACTGCCCAAGAGGCACCCGAAACGCCACAAGAGGGCTCCAAGAGGCCGCCCAAAAGGGCACCGAGCTGCCAAAACCAATGAGTTCCCTTCAGGTGCTCAAAGATCTGTGTTCTCCACCTTTTCTGGCTTCCGACGCTCCAAGACGGCCCGAAAAGGCCCCCCAAATTGTCCCAAGACGTTGCAAAAGGCTCCCAAGAGCGCCCCCAGACTGCCCAAGATAGCCCCAAGACGGCCAAGAGGCCCCCAAGACGCCCAACAGAGCTCCAAGAGGGGCCCAGAAGAGGTCCCAGAAGGGAGAACACGAACTGACATGCCGAGCCGTTCGCCCCAAGAGGCGCCCAGGAGGCACCCAGGAGGCCCTCAAGAGGCCCCAAGAAGCCCTCAAGAAGCCCCGCGCCGCGGGGCCCTAAATATGCTCCCCCCCGAAGCCTAGCCTCAAGACTGCCTTGAGGAGGCACCCGAGAGGCCTCGACGAGATCCCAACGAGCATCCCAGAGGCCTCATACCCACAGTGAAGGCACGGTGGCGGGATCGGCCGAAGGTCATTCTACATATACATATACATATACGTGTACACATGCACATACAAATGCAAGCACATACACATGCAAACACACATGCACATGCACATGCAAATACACAAACATTAATGTATACATCGATATATAAGTATATACACACAAACGAACACACACACACATGCGCAACTACATACACACACGCATACATACATACAAACATACATACACCCATACATACGTATATACCTGCATGCATACATGCATGCATGCACGCATACATATGTAGATACGCGCATACATGCATACATGTATACATACATGCATGCATGTAGACATACATGCACGCATACATGAATGCATGCATACATACATACTTACATACACATACATTCGTACACACATGCACACACATATATACGTACATACATACATACATACATACATACGTGCATACATACATACATACATACATACATACATACACACATACATACATACGTACATACATACATACATACATACATACATACATACATGCATACATACATGCATACATACATACATACATGCATACATACATACATGCACGCATATACATACATACATACATACATACATACATACATACATACATACATACATACATACATACATACACACACATACATACATACATACATACATACATACATACATACATACACATATACACATACATACACACATACACATACACATACACACACATACATATACAAATACACATACATACACACATACACATACACGTATACATATACATATACATATACATATACATACACATACACATACACATGCACATGCACATACACATACAAACGTGCGTACGTACACACATACATACATGCATACATCCATCAACACATACACACATGCATGCGTGCATGCATACATGCATACATGCATACATACATACATGCGTACATACACATCCAATTCGGACAGCCGGCGCACTACATGGGAGAGGAGAGAAGGCGAACCGTTTTTTTTACATGGCGGCACGCCAGGGATGAGTCACTTGGACCCACCGACCTTTTGGCGGTGGGTACACCATGTCATGTAGGGTGGGTGGGTGGAAAAGATGAAATTCCCCGCAGCGCGCGATGAAGCCAACGGCTGCAGGAGAGATGGGAAGGAGGGAGAGCACACGGCAAAAGAACGGATTAAGCTGTCAAAATTGGGACCTCAATAAAAGAGAGAAATCTAATTGGGACACCCGGCGCACTACAAAGGAGAGGAAAAAAAACGAACCGTCTTTTACACGGCGGCATGCCAGGGATGAGTCACTTTGGACCCACCCGCCCACGCCGCCGGGTTCACCAACCCTCTCAAGGTTCCCGCCACACCGTCCCACTGCCCCGCAGCGGGCTATAGCTCCCCGCGCACATCCTTCCAGAGAGGTGCGCCGCATGTGGGTTACTGCCCCGAGCAGTGGACCCGAACGGGTTCAAATCCCTTGGCTTCTGTTCCTAACTTACAGCATCCCAATGGGTTATGGCCATTCCAAGGCCCAGGGGACCCTTGGATCCCGCGACGGAGGGGGTCGCCCTCCCTGGCCGCGGGCACCACCAATGAAACGCGCGTGCTGGGGTTGGGCCCGGGAACTGCCCCTATAGCGGGCTGGCCCGCCGCGGCATTCGGAATGCCGCGAGAACGCGCCCCCGCTGACCCTCTCGAAGTTTGGGGCGCCCCTGGCCGCCGCTCCAAGCGAGCGCGCCCGGCGCCGGCGACGCCGGGCAACGGCGGGCGCGCAAAGTCGCCGTGGGCGCGGGCCCCCCGCGGGGCCTGCTCGCGTCAGGCAAAACAGCGAGCTGGGGCCGCGCGGGCCGCGCAGAGCAGGACGCGACCGGGAGGTACGCGGGGCCCTGTGGCTCGACGCCCTTCCAACGGGGCCGCGAGGGGAGGGCGCGGCAACCCCGCCACCCGCCCGTGACAACGCCGAGGGGGCCAACCTCAGGCTGGCCCCTTGAAGGCGAGGCGCCGTCCAATGAAGTTGGGGGGGGGCGCCCGCGCCCGCAGTGAAGTGCTCCGGGTTCTCGCAGTGCGTCTGGGGAGCCACGCTCCCGCTCCCCTTCTCTCTCTCTCGGCTGCATCTTGCTGGATGTCCGGGTCGCCTTTTCCCCCGAAAGGGCCCCTGGGCTCGGCCCAGCATCTCTCCCCGGGCGCCCCCGGTGCTGGTGGCCAGGCCGAGGGCCCGAGCCTGGCGCAGGATAGCCACGGCCCCCCATGGGCGCTCCCAACCCGGGGGCCCTCCTGCTGCGCGCCCATGCCCGCGCCCGTGCCCCGAACCCGTGCCCGCACTCGTGCCCGTGCCCGTGCCCGCGCTCGTACTCGTTCTCGTGCTGGAGCTTGTGCTCATACGCGCGGTGGCCAAAGGCGGCGTCGGCGTCGGTCTCGGATCTGGTGTCGAGGGCGGCAGAGGCGCCATCGGAGCGCCGTTCGTCAGGGTCGGGATCGGCGTCAATGGCGGCGTCGTCGTCCGAGTCGTCGGCGTCGGCGCCCAAGTCGTGGGCGTCGGCGTTGGGGCCGGCGGCGGCGTCCAAGTCGTCGGCGTCGGCGTCGGGGTTGGCGTCTGAGTCGCTGGGGTCGGCATCGGCGCCCAGGTCGTCGGCGTCGGCGCCAACGCCAGCCTCGGCGCTGGCGTCGGAGTCGTCGCAAGCGCCGTCTGACCTGGCCGCATGCTGGACGACGCTTCGGGGCACGAGCAACAGCGATGCTGGCGCGATACGTACCTTCTGGTCAGACGGTCCATTACTGGGTTCCGCGTCGCGGTCTCCCGTAGCGCGACCTTCCGTAGCGTGGCCTCTCGTATATCGCGGCCTCCCGCAACGTGGCCACTCGCATCGCGGCCTCCCGCAACGTGGCCTCCAATAGCGCGGCATCCCCTATCGTGGCCTCCCCGCCGACGGAGGGGCAGCCCTCCTCGTGGATCCTGGGGTAGCCCTGCTGCCTTTCCTCCTCCCGCTTCCCCAGCGGCGAAAGCGCGCGGGGGCAGGGATTCGCCTGCTGCCTCCGGGCATGCCCGGGCTCGTTGTTGGCGAGCGCCGCGAGGTCTGGGTTGCGCCTGGGGTTGGTCACCCAAGGCCCACTTGCCACGCCCCCAGAGGCCCCCGGGCTCTCCGCCGAGCTCCCTGCGAGAGAGGCCCCAGAGCCCGGCATGTCAGCGCCCCTCGGCGCTCCGCGTTCGAACCCTTGCCGTCCGAGGTGCCCCTGGCGGCTCCCCGTGTGCTGCTCTGGCACTCCCCGAGCATGCCATCGGCCGCCTGGGGCTCCAACCTGAGCGCGATCGCGCGGCCGACGGAAGCAGTCCTTGGTCGGCCCGGCCTCTGAGCACATGCCGCCGCTGGGGCCTGCGCCGGCGGCGGGGCGCGCCCGGCGCCCCTCCCCGACGACCTCGGAGCCCCCTGGTGCGCCCTTGCCGACAATCCCGTCTCCTTTCCAGGCTCCGCCTTCCAAGGGTCCGCCCTCCCTCTTCCCTGGGTCAGCCTCTCCAGGTCCGATGGGGGCACGGGTCGTCAGCGTCGCCGTCTGCGTCTAGGTCGTCAGCGTCGGCGTCGGCGTCGGAGCCGTCGTTCGAGACGTCGACGTCGGCGTCTGAGTCTTGGGCGCCAGCGTCGGGGTCGTCAGTCGGGTCGTCGTCGGCGGCGGCGTCGCCCGAGTCGTCGCTGTCGGTGCTGGCATAAGCGCCGACGGCGGTGCTGGCGCAGGCGCGGGCGTCGGCGTCGGCGTCGTCAGCGCTGGCGCGAGTGCCGACGCAGCGACGGCGGGCCCAGCTGCAGGCGCGGGGGGGCCGCCGGGCCGCCTGGAGGAAGTGCTCAGACACGGGTCCGTTGGCGCGTGCGTCCTCCCACGTCCGAGTCGTAGGCCTCGGCGTCGGCTTTGGCAGCGGGGGCGACAGCGTCGGCGTCGGCCTCCAAACTTGGGTCGGCGTCGGCGCCGGCGTCCGAATCGCCGGCGCCAGCGTCCGAGTCGTGGGCGTCGGCGTCGGCGCCCGGGTCGTCAGCGTCGGCGTCAGAGACGTGGTCGTCGGCGTCGGCGTCTGGGTTGTTGGCGTCAGCGTTCCGAACAGGCGGCCCGCGCCTGCGGGGTGAGTGGGACCGCGGGAGATCGGCAGCTCCGCGCGGACCCACGGGACCTCGTAGCCCTCCGCCCTGGGGCTGGTTTCGAGGTTCTCTGCCCCCGCCAGAGATGAGCTGCCGCGGCGGCGAGGGCAATCGCCCAGGCAGCCCGCGCAGGAGGGGCCGCGGGGGTCCCAAGGAGAAGCGGCCAACGCCCGAAAAGCAGCTGGGGTCGAGGGCGAACGGCGGCTCCGCGCCGCCGCCCGGGACCCCGGAACGGCCCGCCCCGCCGCTGGAACTCCGGCAAGGGGCAGTCCCCTGAGCGGCCCACGCCCGCGGGGCAGCGGGCATTGGAGGGGCCTCCCAACTCCAGGGGGGTGCCCGGGCCCGCGTGGCACTCCGTTGGGGCTTCCACCCCCCCATTACTCCGACGGAAGAACCCCACATAAGAATCCTCTGGGCGAATCTGGAAAAAGCCATCACCGTCGTCCTCGTGGTTGGTGAGGCGTCCTGGCTGTCTCTTCTGCGTATATTTCCTCTCGCCTTGGCGCGGGCCCCCCTTCCACTCCTTACGTTGTCCCCATCCTCGCCCCCCTGTTTGTTCCGCGCCCCGCCACCTCCTCCCCTTCCTGTTGCATGAGCGCGCATGTCGATGTTCCTCGGCGCCGTCGCCGCCACGGCCAGCACAGGCGCGTTCTCTACTGGTCACGTCGCGCAGCCGTTGGGACAACCCCGCGGGCCAGGCTGTCGGGACAACCCCGCGAGCCGTTGGCGCGCAAGACCAAGCCGTTGGGACAACCCCGCGGGCTTCGAGCGAGGCGCAGCCGCGCTCAGGCGGAAGGCAGCACGAAGCCCAGCTCTGCCGCGAGCTGCTTCGCCTCCGCCCTGGACAAAACCGCTCTCTTGTCGAACTCCAGGAGCGCCTTCCGCAGGGACGCCGGCGGCCCGCACTCCAGGAACTCTCGCGGCGGCGGCCGCAGGATCAGCATGTTCCGCATGCACGTGGCGCGGGAGAACATGACGTAGAGGTGCAGCCACCACTGCTCGTCCGACATGCCCGTGCGGCCAGCGTCCTCGTCTCTCGCGCAGTCGATGGTGACGCCCTTGCGCAGCGTCTGGCCCTGCGACAGCGTGGAGGTCAGGTAGGACGCGTGCGTCAGGGTGAACCCCGAGCGGCGCACGCTGTGCGCCCCCGAGCTCTGCCATGTGAACTCCCTTTCGCTGGGCCTGAACATCAGCAAGCTCCGCGCCCGCGCCTCGATCTCCCGCCTGAGACTTCCTCGCAGTTCACTCACAGACGAGGCTCCCGCCTGAGACTTCCTCCATATTCAAGCTTGAGGAGCCCAAAAGTGACGACAGTTACAGGGTTCCGATGACCCGCTCGGATTACCAACATGATCTGCGGGCCCCATAGGGAGGGAGCTCCCGCCTGAGACTTCCTCACAATTCACTCAGAGACGAGGCTCCCGCCTGAGACTTCCTCCAAATTCAGGCTTGACGAGCCCAAAAGTGACGACAGTTACAGGTTCCGATGACCCGCTCGGATTACCAACATGATCTGCGGGCCCCATAGGGAGGGGGCTCCCGCCTGAGCCTTCCTCAGAATTCACTCACAGACGAGGCTCCCGCCTGAGACTTCCTCCAAATTCAGGCTTGAGGAGCCCAAAAGTGACGACAGTTACAGGATCCCGATGACCCGCTCGGATTACCAACATGATCTGCGGGCCCCATAAGGAGGGAGCTCCCGCCTGAGACTTCCTCCCAATTCACTCACAGACGAGGCTCCCGCCTGAGACTTCCTCCAAATTCAGGCTTGAGGAGCCCAAAAGTGACGACAGTTACAAGATCCCGATGACCCGCTCGGATTACCAACATGATCTGCGGGCCCCATAGGGAGGGAGCTCCCGCCTGAGACTTCCTCCCAATTCACTCACAGACGAGGCTCCCGCCTGAGACTTCCTCCAAATTCAGGCTTGACGAGCCCAAAAGTGACGACAGTTACAGGATTCCGATGACCCGCTCGGATTACCAACATGATCTGCGGGCCCCATAGGGAGGGGGCTCCCGCCTGAGCCTTCCTCAGAATTCACTCACAGACGAGGCTCCCGCCTGAGACTTCCTCCAAATTCAGGCTTGAGGAGCCCAAAAGTGACGACAGTTACAGGGTTCCGATGACCCGCTCGGATTACCAACATGATCTGCGGGCCCCATAGGGAGGGGGCTCCCGCCTGAGACTTCCTCACAATTTACTCAACGATGATGAGGATGAGGATGATGAGTGGTGGTGAAGATGAGTGGTGAAGAGGATGATGATTGATTGTGAGTGGTGGTGGCGATGATGATGTTTGAATGAGGATGATGCCGATGCCGATGATGATGATGATGATGATGATGATGTTCGTGAGCGTGTGAGAGAGTGCGAGTGATGATGATGATGAGTATGTGAGTGACTAAGCATGTGAGAGAGCATCATCGATGATGCTGATGAGGTTGATGATGAGAGAGTGTGAGTGAGTGTGAGTGGGTGTGTGTGTGTGTGTGTGTTCCTGTTCCTGCGCGGGGTGTCCAGAGAAAACAAGAACCCCACTTTGGATGTGGGGAAAAAACACATACACAGTGTTTCCTTGCTGCTCAGACCCAAAAAAACAAAACCAAGCAAACATGCACTGTGTTTGGCGCTCTCGGAGCAGGGAAACACTGTGTATGTTTGTTTTGTTTTTTTTTTGGGGGGGGTGACAGCGCCAGTGCTTGCTGGGAGAAAGGCCCCTGCGAGCATTGGGGCTTTCAAAACAAAAAAACAAACAAACCATATACAGTGTTTCCTTGCTCTTGCGCCAGTGCCAGCGCCAGTGCTTGCCAGCGCCAGCGCCAGCGCCAGCGCCAGTGCTTGCTGGGAGAGAGGCCCCTGCGAGCATAGGGGTTTCCAAAACCAAGCAAAACAACAAAACTACAAAAAGCATACACAGTGTTTCCTTGCTCGTCAGACCAAAAAACATACACAGTGTTTGGCGCTCTCGGTTCAAGGAAACACTGTGTATGTTGTTTCTTGCTGAAGTCGCAAAGAGAGAGGAGAGGGAGGAGGAGGAGCAAACGATCATTGGTTACGGTTATGCGTCTGGTTATGGCTTTGGTGTTTCTAGTTCTGGTTATGGTTCTGGTTTCGGATGTTCTGGCGTTGGTTCTGGCTGAGGTTCTGGTTATGGCTCGTTTTGTGGTTTTGTTGGTTTTGGGGGTGCTGGGGGGGGGGGGGGCGACCATACACATATACAAATATGTACATACGTAGCTACATCATATGTACATGTTTTGTATGTACAGACACGTGTATATGTGTGCCCATACCTATACCTGCAGCTACACCTTTAAGTATACGTGTACATATACACATACAAACTCGCATACACATATACGCATAATTACCGCCAATTGGACCTTGCTGGCTGATGAAGCCTGCAATAATATGTCCATTCAACAGGGCACCCAACACACCATGGCGAGCCGCAAGGCGATACTGACGTCACGGCCGAAAGCCCAGTGTGACCAGAGGTCTCCTCCTCCTCCTCCTTCTCCCCCTGAAAGATCAAGGCTGCAGGCAATGGTTCCTCAAAGACGCTGCCTCGTCCGTCCTCCTCCTCCCCGTCCTCGTCCCCCTCCTCGCTGCTCCTCCTCCTCCTCCTCCTCCTCCTCCTCCTCCTCCTGCTCCTCCTCCTCCTCCTCCTGCTCCTGCTCCTCCTCCTCTTCCTCCTCCTCCTCCTCCTCGCTCCTCCTCGCTCCTCCTCGCTCCTCCTCGCTCCTCTTCCTCCTCCTCCTCCTCCTCCTCCTCCTCCTCTTCCTCCTCCACTTCCTCCTCCTCCTCCTCCTCCTCCTTCTCCTCCTCCTCGCTCCTCCACGCTCCTCCTCCACGCTCCTCCTCCTCCTCCTCCTCCTCCTCCTCCTCCTCCTCCTCCTCGCTCCTCGCTCCTCGCTCCTCGCTCCTCCTCCTCCTCCTCTTCCTCCTCCTCCTCCTCCTCCTCGTTCCTCCTCCTCCTCCTTCTCCTCATCATCATCATCATCACCCTAGTCGCTCCTCTCCTCCTCCTCCTCTCCTCCTCCTCTCCCTCCCTCCTCCTCGTCCACCTCCTACTCCTGCTCCTCCTCCTCCTCCTCCTCGCTCCTCGCTCCTCGCTCCCTCGCTCCTCGCTCCTCCTCCTCCTCGCTCCTCCTCCTCCTCCTCCTCCTCTCCTCGCTCCTCCTCGCTCCTCCTCGCTCCTCCTCGCTCCTCCTCCTCCTCCTCCTCCTCCTCCTCCTCCTCCCTCCTCCTCCTCCTCCTCCTCCTCTTCCTCCTCTTCCTCCTCGTCCTCCTCGTCCTCCTCGTCCTCCTCCTCCTCCTCGTCCTCCTCCTCGCTCCTTCCCCCTCGCTCCTTCCCACTCCTCCTAACTCCTCCTCCTGCTCTCTCTCTCTCTCTCTCTCTCTCTCTCGGCGTTTCCGTCGAATGGACGCTAAGCCTACGGCGTCGGCCGCGAGGCAGCGGACGGCCTTGAGGGCCATGTCCGGCTCATTGCTCGTGTCGACCCGCCTCAGGACCGCCTGCGCACTATCCAGGATATCCCCCGCGAGGTCGTCGCGCCCTTCTTGGAGGCTCGGCAAGGCTGTCGCCGAAAGACATCTCGCTCAAACGTTTCGATGGGGGCGATCCTCGTTGCAAGATGTGTTTGGATGCGGTCAGTCCTGCTCTTCGGCCCGCTTCGCGGGAAAGAGTAGTGGGAACCGAGCAAGACGACATGACAAAACATTTTGAAACCCGGGGCGAGGTCCACGTGAATCGAATGCCTTCCCCGAGCCGACGAGACTCCTCCAAAAGATGGCGGGTCCTTCGGATCCCACCCCCTGCAACGGGACAATCCGCCGAACCCCCGCTGTCGGTCTTCAGGCGTGTGAGATTCGGCTACACGCAAGAGCGACCCTCGGCGAGAGTGACCTTGGTGTGCGGCTTTAGGGGTGGCCGCGGGGAGGCCAAACCCAAGCGCGCAAGACTCCACTCCTGCATCGACTTAGGCGATCGGGGGACCCTGGTGGGCCCGCACCAAATGTCACTCTGGCGAAGGGTCCAAACTGCGCACTCGACCCACTCCCCCGGGCCCTGGACGACCTCACCCGGGAGGGGGGCTCTGGCCCTCCCAGGGCTCCCCATGCAGCTCCGAGACGGCCCCTGCGGGCTCCAAGACGAGCAAGAGAACCCGAAGAGACCCCACTGCAGCTGCAAACGCAACTGAAGAGGCCCAAACATGGCCCACCTCGCCTCCGAGACGATCTACAAGGCGTCGGAGACGCCCTAAGAGGCGTCCGCGAGGGTTGCCTCGAGAGTTCCGAAAAACAAATGTCCTGGATGTTCTGCATGTTTTTGAAGGTTTGGGGCGTCATTACCTTTCGGCCCAGAGGACCCACCCAAAGCACCCCCAGAAAACAAAAGAGACCCTCATGAAGCCCCCACGACGACCAAGGGGGCTCCTCGACAGCCCAAGACGCGTCCAATTCGCCGGCCCAACGGGCCAAAGGCGTGCTAAGAACTCCGGTAACTACTTAACAATATTTCTAGTTCGCGCGCGCGGGGCAACCCCTGGGGGGCCCCGGACGAAAAATACCCTGGCCGATCCCCGGCTGACCCCCGGGCGATCCCCAGGGGGGGGGGCTATTTTTCGCCACCCGTCACGAGGATCGTGGCCTCCGAGGGGGGGGCCGCAATCGACTACCTCCCCTCCCGCCCCAAGGGGCCCCCAAGAGCCCCCCAAGAGGCCCCAGGGGAGCGCAATACGCCGCCAAGGAGCCCCAAGACGCTCCCAAGAAGCCCCCAAGAAGTCCCCAAGACGGCCCCAAGAGGCCCCAAATAGCGCTCCAGGGCCGGCGGAATGAGCGAAGCGATTAATAATGTCCCAAGAGCCCCCAAGGTGGTCCCCAAGAAAAACCCACGAGTGGTCCTCGCGAGGGAGCATGAACTGACATGTAGGCCCCCGAGCATGTCCCCCAAGAGGCCCCCAAAGGCTTTCGAAAGGTACACAAGAGGCTCCCAGAGGCCGGCAAGACGTTCTAAAAATGCACACGAATCACACCAGCCATTTGGGCGACAGGTGGTCTAAGGAGGGTCTCTTTCCTCTTCCACGACCCCACTTCCCTTGGGGGAGGGGAACCCTGCCCCTCCCCTCCCTGAGCTTGTTTTTGAGGGTTCGCGAGGTGTCGGAGGCTCCTGTTCGGGCCATTGGGAGGGCCATGTTTCACCACCCGTCACGAGGATGGTGGCCCCAGAGGGGGGAACGAACATCGAGTCCCCCCCCTCTTTTGACCGACCGCCTCCAAAATGGCCCCAAGAGGCCCTCCAACGTGCAATTATATGCAATTTCCTGGCCCATCCGACCTCTGCCCTCTCGATGCCTAACTCCGTTCCGCTGGTGTTGTGGCTCGAGGGCGCCCTTGAGTCACTCCGGCAAGTGCTACTGGACCTGCCGATTTTGGCAACAGTGTGCTGAAGCACACTACTGTATTTCACAGCCCACCAGGGGCTACAGCGATGTACCTTTTCAGATCATCGACGCTGGCGAGCTGTGGAGGAAAAGGAGAGATTACCGAGATAAGCAGTATTGCTAGTCACACCCAGGACGATATCGAGATATCGAGGCTGCTCGCCAACGCCGACACTCTAGCTGGTAGCGGAGCCGGTCTGGCTCCACGGACCGGCGCGTCATGACGACCGAGAATAAGAAGTTAGAGACAATCCCATCATGGGACGGCGACGTTGTCAGTTTCGACTTGTGATGCGGAACCAGCTCTACGTGCGCGGCACCGAGAAGGACGAGAAGGGTCTCTGCGGCCCGAGGCTGATGTCGGAGCTCCATGGTCGCGCATGGCAGGGTGTTCAGAAGTACGACAAGATGGACTCCCTTGACGACGTCGAGGAGGACGCGAGGACGAAGTTGCCCAAAGGAGTCAGCCAGTTGCTCAGATACCTCAAGGAGACGAGTGGCATCCTGGTGGTAGAAGACACGGGCAAATACATGATATCATTCATGAAGGAGGTGCACCGGAAACCGAGGACACCGATACGAGATTATCTCGCGCAGTTCGAGATCGAAGAGGATAGAATGCAGAAGGCGATAAAGCAGATCGACACCGACTTCGACGAGAAGCGGCCAATATTTCCTGAGCCACTCCGAGCACGGTTTCGACTCGAGAATGCGGGACTTGAGGATCATGAGCGCTCGCAGGTGCTGGCTTCGGTGCAGAACAAATACGGGCACCAGCAGATCCAGCAGGTCCTCGGCATGCAGTTCGACAAGAAGCGCGAGCCCGACAGCGGCCAAAGCCGTACCATAATCGCTGGCAGCACCGCCAGAAGAACTACGCGGCCGAGGGCGACGATGATAACGACGAGGATAATGAAGATCAAGACGATGATGGACTCACAGAGTCACTCCAAGATGCTGCCTCTCAGAATGTGCTGGCGGCTGCCGATGATGAGATCGGCGCGACGCTCCAGCAGATTGTGGAGCAAGCGGGAGACGACGAGGAGCTGAAGATGGAGTTGCTCGAGGGCGCAATTTTCGCGGCAGCACAGCACGGGCAGCGTTCCTTCAAGCAAGCTCGAGAGCTGATCCGCCAGAAGAAGACGAATCGCAATTTTCTCGGCCCGAAGAAGTTCGTGGCGCCGGGCAAGGGGTCGTCCGGGTCTCAGGCTTCGAAGAGCGGCCCGCCGAGTTCCGCCAGCAGCCACAGTCACGTCAAGAAGGACAATGACTCATGGAATACAGACCCGAACACCATGTGCCTCAGGTGCGGCGGATACGGGCTCATCGCGAGGGATTGAAAGGCACCTGCCAAGCTTCACCACGGGCGCAGGTACAAACATTCATCATCGTGGTCACGTCCGGTGCGATCGACAAGAGGCCGAATACGAACTACAGCGACAAAGATGCGATCGACCACAGGCCGAATACGAACTGCAACAGCAGCAGGAGCCAGGCGCCTCGACGGCGCATCGGCAGAGAAGATGCCGTGCAAATGTGCACTGGCAAAGCGGTGAAGAATCCCGGCGCACGTATCCGGGCGCAGCTGCCGTGCAGATGTGCACTGGCAAGGCTTTGGCCGCTGAATTTTCCCATGCGGCGTGGCCATGTGCGACGGCGACAACGCAACGACGACAAGGAGGGGGGGGAAGACGGAGCGAGGGAAGCGAGGAAGACACGGGAGGCCGGACGAGAGGCAGGGGAAGGAAGGGAAGGGAGGGGATATCGAAAACAACATGCGCGAGGCCTGGCATCGTTGTCAAGGCAGAAGAGCGTAGACGCAGGGTGCCCCTTGCTGTTTGGGCCTCCAGCGCGCGCGGTTCTCATCCCAGACTCTGGGTGCCACAGAGTTGGGATTGCACGTCAGCTTACGTGGAGGGCGATCCTGTGGAAACGTTGCAATTGAATTGTAGAGCTTCTTCTGGCGCTCGAGAAGGTCCTCGCTCAGATTATGCTCTCCCGTCTGCTCCAGCACGCTGCGGTTCGACATTCTCGAGACGTAGGCGCACGGGGTGCGGCAGATCTTACGAAGGCATTGCACGTGGAACGCATTCAATCTGTCCTTGTCGGCCTTGAGGGACCAGACAGATTCCAAGTTGTACAACAGCTTCGGTACCACAATGGATCGATAGAGTTTGAGCTTCCTTGATCGGGTGATGTTCGCGTGCGACCAGCATTTCTGAAGGGACTTGAAAACTCCTCTAGCTTCTCCCAGTCTTCGCGTGACTTCAGGCCTTGCAGTGCAAGTCGTGCTGAGAAGACCACCAAGGTATACTGCTTGCTCAACCTCTGTCAACGGCTCCCCGCGCGGGTCTGTCAGAAAACCAACATTGCGAATCATCATGAGGACTGCCTTTTTCCAATTCAGCTCTAGCCTGTACCGCTTCCCCTCGTCAATGACAGCATTGAGGAGGGTCTGAAGCTTGGCCGCACAGCTGCTGGTGAGCATCGTGTCGTCCGCGTAGAGCAAGTCAGCGCATGGGATGAAGTCCCGCTCCTGCACTGCCAAATGCTCGCCCACCATCCGCGCGTCGACATCGAAGAACATCACAGTCTGGACTAGGATGAACAGATATGGCGACAAGTGGCAACCTTGCGAGATGCAGGCTCGTTGTCTGCGCCGCCGAATACGAACTACAGCGACAAAAATTCGATCTGCGAGGACACGAATACAAACTACAGCGACACAGATGCGGCCCGGATTCCAAGCTGACGGCCGACGAGATCACGGCGCGCAGGGCTGTCCTCGAACAAGCCCAGTGGCTTTCCACCCAGACGATGCCGCAGATTGCAGTACACGTGTCCATGCTACAGGCGGTGGTCAACAGCGCCACGGTCAAGGACCTGGGCAGGATCAACCAGCTCGTCAAGGCGATTCACGAGTTCGCAGGAACTGGAATCACCGAACACCCTTACAAGGATACGGCCAGGGTGTGCTGGTTCGACGCTTCGTGGTGTTCCCGAGCGGATGGTAATAGTCAAGGCGGTTACGTGCTTTGTACAACGGAGAAGGCAGCGCTCGAGGGCAAGAAGCAGAAGTTCACGGTGTTCACTGGAGCTTCGAAGAAGTTGACGAGGAAATGTCGTTCTTCCCTCGGAGCTGAGATCCAGG